TCAACAACAACAACAAGCACTTGGCAAACAAAGAGGCGTCGACAAACTGGCAGGGACACCGCGGAAGCCGAGGCGGAAGCCACTCCTCTGGCTGCCGTCAAATTGAATTCCCGCGGGCAGAGTAGTGCGGTGCAGTGGCGTCTGCGCCCCGCGGCCCCGCCCCGGCCGTAATATTAGTTTACGGTTTTAATGCGCGCTAACGGTGCAGGCCGCGCGTGCAGTTCGGCGACAGCGGCGGCCCTGCGCTGCACCGCCCTGCACTGCATTACCGCAAAGTGCGCCGGGCCGGGCCGCCCGCCCGTCCGCGGCCAGCGCCTGCGAAGTCCGGAGTAGGCCGGCCCGCCGCGCCGCGGAGCACGCCGACGACGAGTTGCCTACCGCGCAGGCGCTCGGCACCACGCGCAGCAAGCAGCACCTCGCTTTGAAGTGACGCACGCACACACACGCGCGCACAGATAACCATCTGAGGGTAATTACGCATCACGCAGGTCGCTGTGTGGAAGGTCCACCCCGCCTGTTTCCGTCTATCCATCTGTCTAGCGCTGTGCCAGTGTGCGAGACAAGGACGGAGACTGAATCTCCTGCGGGGCTTGGTGCGCCGCAGATCAAACGCACGCGAGAATCAATACGACCCTGCTATCTCGCGCAGCACGGCGCAGCAGTCCTCCGAGGAACTGCGTGGAACAGACGTACTGGGCGGGAAACAACTGCCAACTTGACAACAAAGCACTTAACAACTCAAACCATCAAAAATTGAAACCAATTTTACAAATTTGTTTCTATAATTTTTAAAAAATTACACTTTTGAAATTTTTTTTAAAGTTTCAATTTACAATTCCCAGAACCACAGTAGTGCTTGCGTGAAATTCGACCGGTACAAAGCTTGCTTCGTTTGGTGCAGTGGAAAGTTGCTTTCCGTCCGAACGCTTGGCTGTAGCGGCACGGCGGCAGGGCGGCGCAGGTTCGGCGCCACGGGCGCCACGTGCGGGGGTGGCAGTGTGTTAACCCATAGTGTAGTGGCGCATGCCGACTTGATGACCTCACGTCCGATCCTGTCTGGCCCAGCAGCGCTAGCGCCGCAGCCAGGCACGTCGCAGTGTGGCGGCCCGGGCCTCACAACACCTCACACGCTCGCTGTGTTACAAACTGCACCGCCAAAAACAAACTTGCTAAAAATGGGAGCGGTTTTCGCCAAGTCGGGCGGCTTGGCTCTGTCTGGCCCCCGGCAGACGGTCCTCGTGGCCACGCGGGCTGATAAGGAGCGGCGGAGGCCTCCACGACCACAGTGGTTTAAAATCCTGTTTTAGGGGGAATAAAGCGATTTTTCAAAAGTGTCGCGGGGGGCATTCTGGGGGGTGGAAACGAACTATAATACTCCAATACAATATAAAATGACGTTTATAGATTTTTATATGACTCTGGGAGCCACTGGGAAGGGTTTGACTTACGTCTTTTGTATTTTGATCAAATTCACCTAATTTTCTTAGATGTTTCCTACCCTTATTTTTCCAATGAGGGCGATGGTACTGGTAAGTTGGCGTGTTTTTCTTTTCGTTTCATCATTAATCAAAGGAAAGCAGCCCACAGCGCAACATTTCGTTCGCGGTTTGGCTCACGGTGGCGGGTTTTTCCTACAAATGCGTTCAACACATTAAAAAACACACTTTTGGAGTTTCGGACATCGATGGGGCCCGATGGGGCGGAGTTATTGGTGCGAGACGATTCCCTTACATGTATATTAAGATGCCCCGATGATAACTTTTCCGCACTCGTCCGCAACACGAAACGCAAGGGGACCAACACCACAAAAACGTGCCAAATTGATTAGTTTTGGGGATAATCGCTTCTGGTGTGCACCATTCAAAACAAAAAAAACATCAGTGCAATTGTTTTTCTTTTCAAATTATTTGTTTTTCTTAGTAACAAAATGGTTTAATGCGGCTTAGAAGTTAAAACTAAGCATTTTGAGCCTTTTTTAGTTTTGCACTTTTTGTCAATTCTTTCATTTTTCTTCTAATTTTGCTATTTTTCTCACACTGTTCGGGATTATTTTGTGAAATTACGACTAGTTGTCTGTTAAATCTGTACCACGAACTGCTCGTAAATTTCAAAAACGATCTGATCATCCATCTTTTTTTCGTCAATTTACAAAAATATTCTTAAACTTACAAACTTAATCCTAAAATTTTGGTCGTTTCAGGCATTTTTTCTTCCTATATTAGTAAGGAAACAACGGACGAAAACGCATTTTTCAGACTTGCTTTTACAATCATACTTATAAATTTACAATTTCACCTGTAAAATTAAGAAGCAGTTTGTAAAATGATGAACAGTTTGTCAATTTACAATTTACTTTGTAAAAAAACAGTGCAGTTCGTGGTACAGATTTAACAGGCAACTATTCATAAAAGTGAGCTTGATTTGTAAGAAAACAAGTATACGCGTGAATAGTCGTAAGAAAACGATTTTAGCAGTAAAACTACGATCTTTCGTCAGTAACATTAAGATTTCATCGTAAAATTACGAATTTATTCCTAAATTTTTGAGTAAAGTTTGTCGAAAATATGACAATTGTTTATTTCATGAATCTTGTAGTTATTTGACGAATTATTTCTTGTTAAATTACAACACTAATTGTTGGGATTACTGTTGTAAAATAACGACTTTTCTTAACAGTGCATGATTTTAGCATTAAAAATCAAATTTTTATCGGACCACTTTTTACTTTGAACTGGTCTTTGCCTATTGCCCACGGATGATTCAGTTCAATTCTAGTAGCATTTGGTCGTACGGGACGCTTGCTAGGACTTATTCCCCCGAAAATCGCATTTTAAACCACTGTGACGACGAAGGCAGGCGATTAATCCTGGTACCCTGACCGCCACTCTTTCGTCCGAGACCCGGGCAGGCCGGCGAGGAGGCCGTGCCGGAGGACACGCTGAGGAATACGAGGCTTATTCGGGTCGAAGGCGGGCGAGGGGGGAGAGAGGGAGACGGGGATGTCCGTCATGGGCCAGGTGCGTAGTGGGGCGCCTCCCCGTGGAGGGGGTTAGAGTGTCTGGGCTGAATGGGGCACCCGGGCGTGACACTTAAAGTCTCCGACGTGTGCCGTGGACCAAGTGGCCCCGAGCCCAGCGCACTTCCACGGCCTCCAGGACTTCCAGGGCGTCCAGAACGTTCAGGACCTCCAGGACTTCCAGGGCATCCAGAACGCTCAGGACCTCCAGGACTTTCAGGACCTCTAGGATGTTCAGGGCCTCCAGGACTTTCAGGACCTCCAGGACTTCCAGGGCGTCCAGAACGTTCAGGACCTCCAGGAGGTTCAGGGCCTCAAGGACTTCCAGGGCATCCAGAACGTTCAGGACGTTCAGGATCTCCAGGACGTTTAGGGCCTCCAGGACGTTTAGGGCCTCCACTCCGGGACGTTCAGGGCCTTCAGAACGCTCAGCACCTTCGTCCGCGTGCGAAGAGGAGCGCCGCGAGTGCCACATTGCCGCCCCGGATTTAGTCCCTGATTAATTTGACAACAGCCGAAATCCGAAGCCAAAGGCACAGCAGGGCAAAAGAAAGTGGTTCCTAGTTGGCAAGTCGCTCCTCTCCTCGCGGGGCGCGCCTCGCGCAGTAACGCGTTTCGGAAGACTTTTTAAGCGAGTCGAGTCGGGGAGCCCTGCCGTGCCGGCCGGGGGGGGGGGGGGGGGGGGCTGCCTAAATGGAGCGCCTCACCGAGGACCTCGCCGAGGATCGCGGCGGGCAAAGGCCCAAAGGCGCCCAAAGGCCTCCCCAGTGCGTCGTCTCTCCGAGTCGTCGGGCCAACACCCCGCCAACGCCGAGGCCGACGCCGAGGCCAACGCGCCTACAGCCTGCAGCGGCCAGAAGCGAGATATCGAAGCGATCCCAGTGTAATGGCTGCACAACAAGGTTATTGCGAGTGTTTTGCAAATAAGTTGCTGTTTCTTTTTTCAAGCTGCTCTCCTCGCCTCTGCCGAGTCCGTCCGTTCGCCCGGCCGCGTGTCCGTCTGTCTGTCTGCCTGTCTGTGCCATTACCCCTGCCATCAGTGCTGAGCCAATTGTGTCTGGCAGCGCGCGGTTATCGCGGCCTGTTTAACAGGCACCTTTCGCACATTACAGCTCTAATGACTGTAAGCCCCCTCCCCCGCCGCCACATCCACGGTCTTCACTCATCCCCTCCCCTTCGCCTCCCCACGCCGCGGCTTCCTTGAATGCCAAGTGCGGCGGCGCGCAAAGTCAGCCATTTTCGGTGAAAGCTGCTTTCTGTCATTTAAACTGCGGTCGGGGGAGGGGGGAGGGGGGGGGTGCTCCACCGGCTTTGCTGGGGCAGCGTGAAGGAGTGCTGAGAGTGTCGGGGACCTCGCGTCGCGTCGCCGCCGACCCAGGCTAGGTTACTGCCCTGTCCTCATTGACTTGTACAACATTCTTAAGGGAAAAAATGGATGAAAATGAAAAAATTTCAGATTTGAACCAGGGTTTAAAAGCGTTCGAACGTGACCGAGCGCGCGTGGCTTCCGAGTAACATTATCGGCGATGACTTGCACTTTAGAAGGGAGAGGCTCTTTTCCTCTAACGAAAACTCCCTTCCACCAATCAATATGCCTCTACAAACTTTGTCAAACATTCATTTGGAAAAAAGGGAACTCTACCAATCTGACGAAAAATATTGAATAAAAATTGCAGGCCAGGTGACACGCGGCCTGCAGCCGTCGGCCTGAAGGTGGATCACTGGCTGGCTCGGTGATCCGAACGAACCGGAAGCCGAGCGGGACGGAGAGAAGCGATCAAAATAAATCTCATCTCATCTCATCTCGGCTCGGTGGGGAGGGACACGCAGCGGATTGATTCTCCCGGTGGCCTTTATCGGGAGTGTGTGCATGGGCGACGGGGAGAGAGGGGGCTGCACGTAGACCCACCTTCGCTTTGTTTCAGGAGGCGGCCCAGTGCGTGAGTGGCTCGGTGAGGTTTAACGGCGTTCCTTTCTGTTGCAGAGTCCATGTTCCCGAAGTTCGCCGAACCCATCCCGAACGTGACCGTGACGGTGGGCCGGGACGCGCTGCTCGCCTGCGTGGTCGACAACCTCCAGAACTACAAGGTGAGCACCACGGCGAAGACTTGGTGGAGCAGGCAGTTTCGGGTTTATTTAACGCATTCAGAAAAAGAAACGCGAAGGAAAACATGCTTTGGGCCCGGGACGTGTGGTGCAAAGGAAAAAGTGGCTTTGGTTCCGGGCGGTGTCCCGGCCGGGCCTGGCGTAATCCCCCTGCGGTGGTAGCCGCGCCCCCTGCGGCCGTGCCCGCCGTGCCCGCCGAGCCCCTGCCCCGGTGGGGCTCCGCGGCGCAGCGAATGGGCCCCGCAATGGGCCGCACCGTTTAGAAAGCCATTCGCCGCCAAAGGAGTGTCCGGCCCCAGCCTCCCGCGCGGCTCGAAACACACAAACCTCGAGGCTGTTGATTCTATCAACCTCGCCTCGCCTCGCCTTGGGCTGCCCGGCCGATGTCATCCGAGATTCACGAGATTGGCCGCGATTTTTCGCCTCATCGCTGCGGCGCTGCGGTAACGCGAGGCGACGCGCCCAGGAGGAAGATCAGGGGGATCGGAGGGCCCTCGCTGTTTTTCTTGGCGGCAAGAATAAACACGATTTGCGTCGGGCGGAGGGCAGAAGGGCGTCCCCGTCTCCGGGCGCAGCGCGCAGGGTGCAGGGCGAGGGACGCGCGGGGCCGCAGCCGCTCACGCGTGCCCTCAGAATCGCCTCCACGCTCTCATCATATTACCCCTCTATTTTTTCCATGACCATGTCGCGGCCCGCATGCGCCGTATAATCGAGGTTCGGAAACTAAATTACCATGACACACACACGCGAACTAATAACAAGCCCACAAAGCTAATCACGGGTTGCCCCCACCCCCTCCAGCCGCCACACACAAACACACACGCAGTGAGAGAGAGAGGGGCGCTCCTATTTGGATTCGCGTCCAGGCCGGCCGAAATAAAAGTGTGGTGCCGTGACAAACGGGTCGGCGTATCAGATTCCAAATTCCTCAGTGTCAAACCTCGAACCGCCATGGCCGCGGCGCGATGCCCATTGTGCGGCCTATCTGCGTGCCGGGCAGGGCAGGCAGGGCAGGGCAGGGCGCGGCACGGCATGCCAGAGTCGTGGATTGGCCGTGTTTCGCTTCGTTTCGCCCCGCTCCGGCCGCGCTTAGCTTTTTTGCGGTGGCGCGTCCCGAATCAACTGCGGCCGTTGAATGAACGGGCCGGCCGATGTGAGCTTCTTTCTCTCGGCGACTCGAATTTCGGCCTTGCCTCGCGCCACTGCCATGTGATGATGCGCAGGCCGCAGATAAAAGCATATACACTGTCAGTGGCGACGCAGTGATAGCAGGACTAAGTCCAAAGTAAGTCTGTTACCAACGGGAACCGTTACAAAAATGTGGTAGAGTGTACAGAACCGTTCCGACACACACAACTTGAGTGTGTTCTCAATACACTCCTAGAAGCGCATGCTTGTAATGGCGCGCTTCCAGGACTGTAAGTTTTGTGTGCAGCTTGTATCAAAAATAGTACATTGCCAATAGTCCTCGGAGTCTCAGGCCTAGTCTTAAATTTTTAGATCTTAACTTATTCAAAAAGTTAATGCACAGCGCGCATCTCTTTGTGGTTTGGTTTTCTGGCCTCGTTCGTCCTTTGCTCTCGTCCTTGCGAGCGCGTATTTGGGAATTTGAAGCAGGCAGGCGAAGGCAGGCAGGTTGTGACGGGCCGTCGAACGCCACGCCACGCCTAGATTACCCCGTGCGTCGCCCCGCCTGCCCCGCCTGCCCCGCCCCTCCCCCGGGGCTTGATAATCGCAGTGGTCGTCTGGCGGGGCGGGGCGGGCCGAGGGGAGCCGAGAGTGACAGCCCCCCGCCTCGATTCCAACGCCTCGCCGCCAACCGCCACGCCGCCGCTGGCTGGGGTTCCCGCCCGCGCGTTCCTTGACTTTGGTCTTATCTCGTGCCGTAAGTTTTACGGAAGCCTTTCTTCGCGACTGCTCCTTCTTTTTTTTGCTCCCCTTAAGAAGCCGTGTGCGACATTCTGCACGCTGCCACCCTCCAGGCCGCTTGCCTGCCTGGCTGGGGCGTCCCGGCCCGGGGACCGCCAGGGCACCGCCAGGGCCAGGACCCGGTTGAGGCGAAGGCGGGGCGGAGCCGGGGCGGAGGTGCAAGCGCAGACAAAATCCCGCAAAATCGCGCAGAGTCGCGCGAAATCGCTCTCGCGACTTTTGGAGGGACCAAGTTAACAGCCGTGGGGGAGTGGCGTGGCGTGGCGTGGCGGCACCTTGGCGACGCGACGCGCTGGGCGGCGTGCTCCCCGCGACTCGGCCGACGCCGTGCTCCGACGCCGTGCTCCGCGTGCGCAAGGAGGGCGAGGAGGCGGTGCGTTCTCATAAGCGGCGCGCCGAATAAAAGAAAGGGAAGCAGTTCGGCCCCCTTCTACTCTCTCTCTCTCTCTCTCTCTCTCTCTCTCTCTCTCTCTCTCTCTCTCTCTCTCTCTCTCTCTCTCTCTCTCCGGGCCGCGTGATCGCGTCGACCATTTCGCAGCGATCCTTTCAGGGATTTTACTGCTCCTCCTGGCTGGCGCGGCTTGCCCGGCAGCAGCCGCCGCCACGGCTAACTCAATCCAGACGATCAGATCCCCGCCACCCTTTCGGCCTCTCGGCCCTCCCCTTCGCTGGTAAAGTCGTCACTTGAGTGTGTGCGTGCGGGGCGGGACCTTCGCCGGGCGGGGCGGCGCGGCGTGTGATAAGATTATCAGCCCTGGCACAACATGACACCGCCAAACATTAGCCCTTGATTTATTTTCAAACTTTTGCCTCATTCTCGTGACGTTTTCTTCTCTGGGCGGTACCCGCGCACCTGGCAGAGGGCGAAGATCCTCATGGACTCTGTGGCAGAGGCACTCTTTCAGTATGACCACGCGAAGTAGCTCCAAAATATTACACCTCTCCGCAAAAGAACAAAACAGAACAATAAAAACATGTGGTTATTTTTTGTGGGCGCCCCCTGCAGCGCCGCGGCGCCACGGCGGTGCGAGTGACGCGTGCCTCGGCGTGGCGTGCGCGTGGCGTGCGTTTGGCGTGCGGATTGAGTGGCGGGGCGCGTGTCTCGGCGTGACGCGGCGCCGCGACAGCAGCGACAGCAGCGACAGCCCGGCACGCCTCGCGCCCCGCCCCGCCCCGCCCCGCCCCGCCCCGCGCCTCGTCACACGGCGCCGCCGAGGGTGACCGGACGGGGCTGCGACCCCCTCGCCGCCCCGCCGCCCCCGTGGGAAAACAGAGGAGGGCCCCTTGGGTAATCGGGGAGGGTCGCTGGCTGGCGCTTGTTGTTGTTGGCGTGGTGTCGCTGCTCGAGGAGGCGATGCTCGCCGTCGTCGTGGTGGTGCTCGCGTGGAGGGCGGTCAAGGGAGCTAATGTTGGCGCCACCGGTTGCGATAGGAATAGCATGTGAACGGCGGCTGTGTTGGTAGACTCTTAGCTTCGTAATGGGCCGGTCGCGAGTTCGATTCCGAACACTTCTTGTTTTTTCCTGTTCCAAACGCCTTGACTCCGTGTGCCCCCAGGTGGCGTGGGTGCGCGTGGACACGCAGACCATCCTGTCCATCCACCACAGCATCATCACGCAGAATCCGCGCATCTCGCTGACGCACAACGACGCCCGCTCCTGGTACCTGCACATCAAGGACGTGCACGAGACGGACCGCGGCTGGTACATGTGCCAGGTCAACACGGACCCCATGCGCAGCCGCCAGGGCTACCTGCAGGTCGTGGGTGAGTAGCAGCAGCAGTGTATCAGAATATCTTAAATCTTTCAAAGATTTGTCAACATGTTGAACAGCTTTGCGAGGTTGATAGTTTTAAGTGCGTCCATCATGTCGTTCCTAAGGTGAGACATAAAGGTGTATCAGCGGGTAGTTTTTGTGTTTTTTGTTTCTTCTGTTGTCTCTTTGTCCTAAGATTAGGTTATTTTAGGAACACCTGTCCAAAGTTGCCGATAAGCGTTTTTGCCCGCTGTTTTCCTTTTCGCTGTGGCGTTGGTGTGGCAGTCGCACCGCACGGCTGTCACGGCCTCGGCCAGGGCAGGCCAAGGCAGAGGGAGGCGCCTGACCGCACGGCCGGCCAGCCTGCCCCGCGGACAGCGCCGCCAGCAGCGCCAGCAGCTTGCAGTGCAGGCGACGGCCGGAGTGGCCGCGGGACTCGACCTCATTGGGGCTGCGGCGACACGCCGCGCAGCGCCAGCAGCTTGCAGTGCAGGCGACGGCCGGAGTGGCCGCGGGACTCGACCTCATTGGGGCTGCGGCGACACGCCGCGCAGCGCCAGCAGCTTGCAGTGCAGGCGACGGCCGGAGTGGCCGCGGGACTCGACCTCATTGGGGCTGCGGTGACACGCCGCGCAGCGCCAGCAGCTTGCAGTGCAGGCGACGGCCGGAGTGGCCGCGGGACTCGACCTCATTGGGGCTGCGGCGACACGCCGCGCAGCGCCAGCAGCTTGCAGTGCAGGCGACGGCCGGAGTGGCCGCGGGACTCGACCTCATTGGGGCTGCGGTGACACGCCGCGCAGCGCCAGCAGCTTGCAGTGCAGGCGACGGCCGGAGTGGCCGCGGGACTCGACCTCATTGGGGCTGCGGCGACACGCCGCGCAGCGCCAGCAGCTTGCAGTGCAGGCGACGGCCGGAGTGGCCGCGGGACTCGACCTCATTGGGGCTGCGGCCGACCACGCCGGCGCACGCCCAGCCGGGCTTGCAGTGCAGGCGACGGCCGGAGTGGCCGCGGGACTCGACCTCATTGGGGCTGCGGCGACACGCCGCGCAGCGCCAGCAGCTTGCAGTGCAGGCGACGGCCGGAGTGGCCGCGGGACTCGACCTCATTGGGGCTGCGGTGACACGCCGCGCCGCGCCACTGCCAGCAACACCTGAGACATTCATTACGCCATGATTCAGTTACAAACTGGACAGCCTCGCTGCCTGTCTGCCTGCCCCGTCGGCGCGGCTCGAGTTGTTTATGGCCGCGAGGCAGGCCGCGCACAGGTGGCACCGCACGTGCGTCGGCCTCGTCGTTGCGGAGCCGGAGCAACACCACGCACCGCCTGCCGCAGCGTGCTAACACGGTCTTCTTTCTGTCGCAGTGCCGCCGACCATCGTGGACAAGGACACGTCCACGGACATGGTGGTGCGGGAGTCCTCCAACGTGACGCTGACCTGCAAGGCGCACGGCTACCCGGAGCCCTACGTCATGTGGCGCCGCGAGGACGGCGAGGACATCAGCTACAACGGGGAGCCCGGTCAGTGGGGGGAGGGGGAGGGGGCTAACGACGCCGACCACGCCGACGAGAACGGAGAGTCGCTACGTGGCCGGCGCGGCTTATGAGTCTATCGGCGGCCACTTGCCGCGGAGGCTGAGGCCGGAAGCACCCCGTGCTCGCCGTGCCCGTGCCGCCCTCTGCACCGCAAGGCCCAGAGGCCCAGGCCCACCCCGCGCCGCCTTGCCGACACTTTTACGACCAGTGTGTGTGGTGGAGGCTTACCGCCCTGTGGCCGGCCCGCTGCCCGCGCCGCCGAGATGTCCGCCGGTCTATGATGACACATGGCCCACCACGCCCTGCCCTGGCCTGCCCTGGCCGCACGGGCGGCGTGCCGGTCCGCGGAAGCAGCGGAGCAGCGCGCCTGCGGCGGACTGGGTAGGCAGTCCCGCGGCGCAGCCGTGCTTCCAGGTTGCCGACCTCCACGGCGTCCGACTGGGCCGCGCGCCTGCGGACGGCGGGGTAGGCAGTCCCGCGGCTCAGCCGTGCCTCCACTTTGCCTACCCGCACGGCGCTTGCCGTCGCAGTGTGCTCGTCATTGGTGTGCTCGTTTTTCGTGAGAAGCGAGTAATTTTCTTTCCACTGAGAAAACCTTACAAACTATTTTGGGCCTTACAAAGAAAAGTAGTTTGTATAACAAAGTATTTTGAGCATACGTAAGCTTACAAAGAAAATACTTCGTAATTTACGAACTATTTCTTCGTATAACAAAGTATTTTAGTTTGTTATATGTATGCTCAAAATACTTCGTAAGATTTTGAGAGTGTCGGAAAGTTGGTTTTGCTGTGTGCCGCCGCGACCACTGCAACGCGCGTGCAGACGTGGACCTCCCAAGCGGCCCGCCCGCGTCGCTCCCCGCACTGGAAAGGGCCGCGAAAGAGCGCCGCCCCGGCCAGCAAGGCTTCCAGCGAGGCTTCCAGGCCCTGGGCGAGGCGAGACTCGTCTGACCTTTTATTTTGCTTCCGTATTTCAGTTTCTTCAGATCTTCTTTTCGTTCCAAATGGCCTGGAGCGATTCCACCTCTCGCTCGGGCCCCTCCCCGCCCCGCCCCCTCCTCTCCCCGGGCAGGGGTGGGGGAGGGGGCGGGTCGCGGGAAGAGGGAGAGGGGCGAGGTGGGCTGGGCAGAGGGGCGGGGGAAATCGCTCGGAGGTAATTTTCCACTTTAACACATTAAAGCGGCGACGCCAAGCAATATTTTGGTTCGAGTTTGCAGCCTCGCCGGGCTTGCCGGGGCTTGCCGGGGCTTGCCAGATGTGGCCGAGTTTGTCGCCGAGGGCCACGCCGCGACCCCGAGGCTTGGCGGGACGGGGCGGGGCCGACAGAGGAAGTAAAGAACTGGGACGCGGGCTGGGGGAAATAAAATGCACGTCCAGGGCCTCGATGCGGGCCGCGCGGGGCTGCGACTGGGGAATGTCGCTGTCGAACACGGCGTGGTGGGGGCGAGGCGAGGGGTGGTGATCGGGCGATACCGGCCTGATGGTTCAAAGCTCAAGGCTGAGGCATTTCTCTCCGCATTGTGAGGCGACAATGACTGCCAAGACTGCCAGCGCCTTTGTTTTCCTCTCATTGTTTCGATATACTTAATCGACCGGACAGCCGCCAGATCGCCTTGGGCTGCCTTGGCCGCGGTCGCCGCACCGCGCGGTCAGCCCATAAAACTTCTTTCGGCTGTCGGCAGCCCCACCTCGGCAGGCCAATCTAGCCCGCCTCGCCCCGCCCCGCCCCGCCCGCGGCCCCTTTTGGCAGCAGGGGCGGGTATCCATCATGATATCCAGCGCGCTCTGGTGTCAGGACGCGACATGAGGCGGGGCGGGGTGTGGCGGGGCGGGGCGGGCAGTCCCTCTCGCGGCACAAAGCAGCCTTTGTGGTGCCTGCCCGGCCTGCCACTCCAGCCGCCCCGCCACCGCAGCTATTTTAGGCAAGATACTCTGCAAAATATGAACCGCGTGCCGCGGGCCACTCTGGGGCACTTGTGGGCCGGGCAAAGCCACCCGATTCGAGATGACAGGGGGCGGCCGGGCCGTGCCGCGTGGCCGTGGCTGCCGTGGCGGCCGTGGCGCGCTGATCCGATGTGAGCTCGGCTGATCCGCCTCAGCGACAAGTGGGGCCGGGGATCCTCCCCCTCCCCGCCCTTTTTACGGCCGCAGAGGCAAAGCAACCGTTTTTGTCTGGGCCGGTGGCGGCCGGCGGTAAACGCGGGGATCAAGTGATGCACTCTGAGGTGCGCGCGCCTGCGGCCCTTCGGGCCGTACGTTTGACTCCGGGTTGCAAAAGGTTCTTTTTCCCTTGATTTTTTTTTTTCGCCCTGCCACACCTCTCCCTTTCCTTGGCCTGGATGCGGCCCGGCCGCGCCGCCCCGCCGCCCACCCGTCACAACTCGAACGTCAACTGCGGAGCAGCAGAGTCGCCTTTTTTTCCTCGCCCTCTGTCGCTCTTTCAGGAGAAGTCACTTCCAGCGAAAGGAGGTGAGGCAAAGTCATGGCAGCGGGCGGGGCGGGGCGGGGCGGGGGCATCGGCGTGACTTTAGACAGCAGCGGGGTGGATGGGGGTGACAGGAAACTTGAACGGGGGTGGGCGAGGGGCGGTGCTAGGTGTTCGCGGCAAGACTCTTATCGCCAACGTGCTAATGATCGGTGGAAAAATAAAGAGGCCGGCCGCCGAGAGCGCCTCCGTCCGCGACTCGCCGACTCGCGGTCGGAACGTCCTTATCGGCGCGACGAGCGGCCGGAGTGAAGAACGAGGACCACGATCGCCGCGGTTATCAACTTCCGGAAAGTGGCGTACTTGGTGTGCGTCGCGCTTCGTCCTGCGGGCCACGGCGTCGTCTCGCTGCGTCTCGCCTCCGAGGCACTGTAGGCTCATTCCGAGAGTCCTTTTCGTCGCTCTGTCTCTGTCGCACCCATGCGGTGCGCCCGATGAGTGAGAGGGAGACAGAGCGGTGAATCGGAATCAGTCTGCTGGGGCGGCACGGCGGCACGGCGGGGCGCGCCGACCGGCCTTCCGCGCGCCAAGGTTGTCTGCCTGCCCGTTGGATCTCCAAATCACTTCTCCGGCTTGTCGCTAGCGGCCCGTGAGAGGGAGTGAGAGGGAAGGGGAGGCAGAGGAGGGATAAACTGAGTCCCCTCCTGCCACGCTGTGCCACGCTGCCACTCCACACCGCACTCTGGATGCGTCCCGCGCCCCTCCCGGTACAGTGTCCTGGGACGGGCTGCGTGCCTCGAATAGCAGTGGCGGCATTGGGCGACACCCCCACCCCGCCCCGCCCCGCCCCGCCCCGCCCCGCCCTGGCACGCCTCGCCACGCCGCGCGCGTGGAGCTCATGAGTTGGCCAGGGATTGTTGATGTTGTCGAGAAATCGTTTGATAATACAGGGGGCGGGCCTTCTCGGGCGTGAGCGGGGCGCCGCGCTGAATGCCAAGTCCCGGGGGCCGCGCAGCACGCCGCCAGGACGGCCAGGTGGACTGAGTGGCCGTGGTTGTTGCAGTGACGGTGGTGGACGGCGAGACGCTGCACATCACCAAGGTGTCCAGGCTGCACATGGGCGCGTACCTCTGCATCGCGTCCAACTCGGTGCCGCCCTCCATCAGCAAGAGGGTCTTCCTGCGGGTGCAGTGTGAGTGCCACGCTTCGAGAAATGACCGCCTAATTATCTTGGCACAGTGCAACTGCTAAAATATCGAACTTTCGGCCCGCTCCGCCAGTCCCGCCCATGCTGTCCATCCCCAACCAGCTGGAGGGCGCGTACATCGGGCAGGACGTGAAGCTGGCGTGCCACACCGAGGCCTACCCGCACTCCATCAACTACTGGACCACGGAGAGGGGGGACATGATCGTATCAGGTGAGTGGGGAGGGGAGCGCGGAGCCGCGCGAGCCGCGGGGTAGCGGCCGTTTTACCATCGAAAACGCCAGAGTGGACTAGCGTTGTTGTCATACCTTTGCTGCTTCATTCTGAGACTGAGGGATGGACCACTTCGCCCTATTTTTTATTCTTTTTTAGCATTTTCTAGATAGTAACATCGTCGTTCTAAAAAACCTTACAAATTGCTTTAGGCCTTACAAACAAAAGTAGCTTGTTGCAACAAAGAATTTTGCGCACACATAAGCTTTGAGAAAATACTCCGTAGCTTACAAACTATTTTTCCGTATTACAAACTTAAAAGTTTGAACCCTAATACTTCGTAAGGTTTCAAGCGAGATATCACTACTCCGGAGTGGTCCTGCCTTCGGGTATTTCTTAATCGCTAGTACACCCGTAACTGGCAGTGCATTGTTATCGGGCGCTTTGAACCTCTAGCCTAGTCGGATCGGTTGATGACTTCGGACAGTAAACGGTGTTATTGTTCCTTGTCCAGGAGGGCCGCCGCCCGTGGGAAGCAAAGCAGGTGGGCTATACGGCGAGGTGCGGCACGGCATGGCACAGCACGGCGTGGCACGGCCGCTAGCACTGGCAAAGCTGCCCTGCCCGGCCTGCCTGCCCAGCCAGCATCCTGGACCGTAACTTTATCGTAGTGGCAGTAGGAACGGGGGCAAGCACGCGCTCAGCACGACCCGGATTCAAATACCACTGCCTTCTTTTTTTCATTTTTTTTTTGTCTTGAGCATGTCTTTTTTTTTCTCTTCAGCAATATATTCGGGCGAAAACCATTCGAGCCTCCCGTAAAAGCCGATGCTGCCTGGCTGCATTCATTCATCGGTTGGTTGGTTCGTTCGTTCGTTCGATGAATGACTGGGCGGCGATTCGGCCACCCGGCAGACTGATTCCGAGAGTCGTTTTCCTCGCCCTGTCTCTCTCGCTCCCTCATGGGACGCCCCATGAGCGTGAGAGACAGGGACGGAAAGGACTCTCGGAATCGGTCTGCGGGCCGCTGCCCTGCTGCACTGCTGCACCGCCTCACTCTCCGCACCGCACTGCCGGACCACTCCAGTTTGCAGCCCTTGCACGCGCAGAGGGGAGGGGGGGGGGGAGTCAGTTCTGGAAGGCAAGGCGTGCCGTGGCGTGCCGTGGCGTGCGATAGCCCGGACCGCCAAGTGCCGCATGTTTACGAGATGTTTATCGTCCCGTTTTGCCTGGCCGCCGTGCGCCCCGCCGCGCGCCCCCTCGCTTGCAAGCCTCACAGGTCTCCCTCCCGGGCAGGCCTGCCCCCTGGCCTGCCCCGCGCTCCCCGTCCGACTAGCCGCGGAACGCACTGTGCGCACTTTTTGAGTAGTTGTTTTCGATTCGCTCGCACACGCCACGGTGCATGACTGGCGTGCGTCTTTTTTTCCCTCCAAGCGTCGCTGTCCTTGAGTCGGGGTGCGTTTCGAGAGGCATTCCATCGAGCGGCCGAAAAATAATTGGTCGCGGACAAGCGAGTTTCCGGTGCCAGTGGGCGAGGCCAATTAAAGGTGGGCGGCCCACGGCAAAGGGCCCAGCTGCTCGCCTGGCGGTGCCTGGCGGTGCCGCGACTCGCATCCGCCATCGCCACGCCGCCATTCCACGCCAATTTGCAATGCAAATGGCGAGTGTCGAGGCCAGTCGATCCGCGTATTCGCATCCCCCTGCAGACGGACGCGACACGGAGCGCGGCCGGCGACTTTGTTTCGCGAATGCTCTGCGAGGGCACAGTGCTGACTGACGCACAGACATGCATGTTTCAGGCAACAAGTACGAGGCCGTGTCGACGGACAACGGCTACAACAAGTACATGCTGCTCAAGATCCGCAACGTGGGCCCGGACGACTTCGGCTCCTACAAGTGCGTCGCCAAGAACTCGCTCGGCGAGACGGACGGCGTCATCAAGCTGGACGGTGAGCATCCGCGGGTTGCAGTCCGAAGGCCGTCTCGGCCGCGAGGAATCAATTTGTATGCGGCCGCGGCGTAGGTGTGCGGGGCGGGCCGGGCCGCCGTGTTGTGTTTAGTGACCCTGGGGAGGGATAAAGCCTCCCATGCCAGCGCCGCCCCCCCCCCTTTTCCCGCCCGCCTCGCGAAACCGGTTGCCTACACTGATAGAAAAGATGCTGTTAATTAACAGCATATATCCTGTTAAGTTTTTTAGCAACACTTGTTGTAGAAGAACGGCATATTGTTGGAGACTGAGTCGTTATTCAACAGCAGTGTTGTAAAAAGGGATGATGGCTCTCTGTATCTGATCTCTGACAATAAGTTGTTGTGTAACAGAATTACCATTTCCAAATGGCACCAACCTGTTCATAAACAACACTTTTCTGTTTTCAAACAAGAAAGTTGTTATACATTTACAAAAAGAATGTCGAGGGTCCTAGTCTTATCCAATACTAGTCTTATCCAATGACTGCTCAGTCATTCAGAAACGCTCTTTTCTGTTTACAAACAGCACTGTTCTTCAACGCGGTCTCTCTGTTATTCACAAAAAGGAAATAGGAGTTTCCTGACGGCTCAAACAAGACATTTGTTTTGTAACAGTTCGTGCAGTTCTTGGACAGTTCACCGCTGTTTAAAAATTGGAAGTGTTGCTAAAAAACTTTACAACACAAATGCTGTTCAGAAACAACAGAATTTATTTTGACATAGTTGGAGTTTGATTTGAGCCGTGAGCTGCAAAATGCTCCGGCAAATCTTCAATTGAATGGTGTTGTTTTTAAATGACAGGATACCGTTCCAAAACAGCATATATCATTAATTTTACAAACAAGATGTTCTGTTTTCCAGCATTGGAAATCGACTATATTTGTTGTTTTCTCCAATGATGAAACTTGCTGTTTCCTAACAGCATTTGTGCTGTTTTAAGTTCCGATGACACGTGCTGCTTAAAAGCAAATCACTCGTTGGTAAATGTGCTGTTTTCCTACAGTTTCTTTTAACAGTGTATCGAGCGGACGAGGCAGGCAAAGGCGAATCCAAGTTAGGCGGGTTTGCGTTATTTTTTTCGTTCGCCGAACAGCACCGGCGACTTCGCGCACTCGTCCCGGCGGCCGACCGCAGCCGAACTCTCTCGTGCGTGCGATCGCTGGTTCGGTCCCACCTACTTAAAGATCCAAGTCGTAGAATTTTTTGCCCATTACTTCCTTGAAAATTGTCCATTTCAGTCGGTAACTACCGCGTCGCGGCGCCGCCTCGCCTGCTAGCCCTGCTCGGCCCTGCTGGCCCCCAAGCGTCGCGGCCCGTCGACATCGCCGTCGGCAGTCCCGGCGGGGGGTGGGCAGCTGCAGCCGCGTGCCGCTTCATCCGTCTTGTGCCCATGTGCGGTGGCTGGCTGGCGGGGGCTGGCGGGGCTGCCGGGGGCTGGAAATGGAAACAATGCTAACAGAACCGCGGCGTGAGGCGAGGGCTAGGCGGCGTCAACCTCGGTGGCGACAAGGCGCATCGATTTCGTCCGTGGTGTCGCCCACCTTGTCCACAGTGTCGTCCATCATGCGGGAGATGCAAACAGCCCGTCCGGCTCTTCTTGCCACCCACGCGGCCTGCAGTGGGCCAGAAGACCGGTGGACGTGGTCCAAGCCCCGGGCGCGTTTTGAGCTCCAGAGTCGCTAAATAGGACACGAATTGAACGTGTGACCCCATCAATGGATTGCTCTCCTAACGAGGAATCCATTGGTGGTCACGCGCTCGGTTCGAGTCCTGTTTAGCGACTCTGGAGCTCAAAACGTGTCTAGAGTTTTGGCTGCCGGCGCCGGTTTTCTGGCCCACTGAGCGGCCTACGCACTCCAAAGCGCTGCAGGTATCTGCGCGCGGGGAGGCCGGGCCACCCTGGGACCCCGAGCGGGGCCTTGCGGGGCCTTGCGGGGCCGTGCGAGCCCCAATCCCCTATCCGCTGGGGAACCGAGGCGGGCCAAGGCTGGCCAGGCCGCAGGTGTGCGAACCAACCATTTTTTCTACCCCTCCGCTGCGCGCTCCAACTCCAACTCCTTGCCCTTCTCCGCGTCGTGCTCCGCGCCGCGCTCTCCGGACGCAACGCAGCGGCCCGGACGAGCACGGCGATCTGTCAGTGTCACTCGAGATAATCTCGGCCAGGAAACAATCAACAGAAAAAGTGTTTGGCCAGCGAGCTGGCGGCCTGGCGCGGCGCTGGCGCATGTTGACAAGTTATTAAACACAATCGCGCACGTGCCGCGGCGATCGGAGTCCATCCATCTCCGGCAGTGTACGGGAGTGGGGCTGTGGGCTTTTGCGTGTCCGCGCCGCGTCCGCGCAGCGTCAACCCACTCACTCATGTTGCCGTTTTCCGTTGCAGAGATTCCCGCGCCGCCGACGACGCCGTCCTCGACGATCCTGCCCAAGAAAAAACGTGAGTTTTGCATGGCACTTGCTGGGCATCAAGAGCTACCACAGAGTCCCTCCCCCTTCCCTCCCGCGGCGGTCCAGCGCCGAGCCGAGCAGCGCAACCCACGCAACCCCAGCCGAGCGAGCCGAGCCGGCCGAGCGATGGGGCGGCCCAGCCCTCTCTGTATGAATTAGGTCCTCGCAGACGCCAAATTGATATTGATGATGTTCCCGCTTATGCATTAAATCGGCCGGTCGGTCTAACTCCACGAGGCGGAGTGGAGGAGGGTGTGTCTGGAGCAAACTACAATCACCAGCCCCCCCCCCCTGCCCCTCCCCGACCCACTTCACCGTCCTTCCCTTGTCCAATCATCATCCACTTCCTCCTCGCCAGTTTCAGCTGCGAACGACCATCAACTCGATAAACTGAATTAAGGGCCCAAAAGACTCCAACGAGGCCGTAAGCAGGCGAAGCAGGCCCGCTTCCTTATTCACAGGAGGAACGGGGAAAAAGAGAAAGAGAGGCGGGAGAATTTTTGAAACACTGCTCTTCCCCGTCGGTCCGCCAGTCGGCCCGCGAGTCCCTGCCTCCCCTTCGCTGTCTGTCCTCATGTTGAGCTTGCCGCTTTGCTGCTTGCAGACCGAGGCCGGGTCAAGCCTTTGAAGATGGAGCGCGGCGAGAACTCGGTGCTGGCCGCGGACTCGTACATCGACGACACCACCCTGGACGGTGAGTCGGGGTCGGGATAGCCTGCCTGGCTAGCAGGCTGCCTGCCTGGCTCCACTCCGGTCGAAGGCGGCGGGGCGCTTGCGATCGGCAGCGGCTACAAAGTTTTTGGAAAACACGGCGTGAGGCCGCGCCCGCTACCACTCAGTACCCTCCCTCCAGGCCGTGCCCGCTAAGGCCCCCGCTTTCTTGGAGGAGAGAAAGAAAGAAAAGCGCACGCGCCGTCTGTCTGTCCGTCTGTCTGTCTGCCTCTGTGTCTGACTGCCCTTCCTGCCTGTCGCACCCGCTCTCTCGCCCGTCTGTCTGTCTGTCTGTCTGCCTCTGTGTCTGACTGCCCTTCCTGCCTGTCGCACCCGCTCTCTCGCCCGTCCGTCTGACTTGATTTAAAGCTTTCCTGCTGCTGTCGGCTCATAGTGGGCTTGCTCCGAGGCTTGCGCACCTGTGGAGCGAACTAGCTGCCTGGGAGTGCTGGGCTAGTGGGCCCTGCCGGCCCTGCGCTGTACAGCGCACAGTGTGCACGCCCGACTGGCGTTCCCTCCGTTTCCACAGGAAAGGCCTTTTCTTCAAGCGTCGTGTTTCGTGTCCACAGAGTCGGCGGACGACGACTACACCCTGGCGCCGCACGTGGAGGTGCGCGACCCCGTGGCGCAGGGCAGCGGCGCGCCGGGCAGCCGCGGCGCCTCCAACGTGGCCGTGCTGGCGGCGGCGTGCGCCGCGCTGCTCTCGGCGCGGTGACTCCAGGCCGGCGCGGTCGTCGGCGCGGTGTGACTCGTCGGCGGCCTCCGCGGCCTCCCCGCCGCCGGCAGTGGCAGTGCTCACTGGCGGAGTCACGCGGACGGAGCCGGGACCGGGATCTCCTTCCCAGCAACCTGGGTAGGGTTGCACCTGCAGTGACGTGGACACAATAATCGCGCTAGTCTTCTGCTTGGGGTCGCCTCGGCTTCATGTATCAGCCACGTCCGTTGAACGAAAGCTTTGTTCCGTCGTGCCGAGAGAAGGCGGACAAAATAACACAGTCAAGTCGCACAAGAAGAGTCAGTCGGCTTCCAGAACGAATACAAAGAACAAAGAAGGTGTGAACTCATTTCCTGATTTGGCTCGGATTCGGTCTTCTCGGGCTCATGTCGTGAATGGGGGCGGTCGTCCGGCAGGCCAGTCGTTTTGCCTTCTTGCGTGCCCAATCAGTGATTCCAAGGCACCGAGCCGTGCCTCGCCGGGACGGCGCACCGCCTTTCGTCCCGTCGTGTGACACCTCCATGACGACGCTCCCGTGACAACGTCACACCCGTCACGAGTCCGGCAGGGGAAAGCGTTCATGGCACGTGAGGAAATGGACGGCTGGGTTTGATTTATTTTCTTTCTCTTTCGGCGGTTGTTCTAATTTGATTTTTCTCAAGTTTTTAAAAAATGTATTTATTCGAGCTATTTATGTTACTGAGATGATTGCCATTGTTATAATTTTAGCTACGAGTTTGATGAAAATGTCGTTTATCATGTGTAAAGATTTTTGTAACAAACGTCGGTGTGGAAAGCGCTCATATCTTTGATTGTTTATTTTTTGGTTGTTTTGTTACTGTTTTTCTTGAGAGCGTCGCGAGAAGCGTCTCGCCCTCGTGTGTGTGACTAGGATGTAAGTGCGTGTTCATTATTTTACTCTTTCCGTGTTTTAGACAAGTGAGGCTTCTGCCTCCCCAAGTGCGTTGTGAAAGTGTGTTGTTTGAGAGGAACGTGATGTCAAAAGTAATCTAAGTAGTGAAATCGTTATTTTTCCATGTGAGGTCTTTTTTTGTATTTCGCTGCTAGACCCAATGAGTCTGCTTCTTCTAGTCGAGGTGCTCTGCCTGCGTTGAATCTGTTCGGGCAACTCGGGTGCTGGTACGAAACCCTGGTGCGGCTCTACCTCACCAAGCCTCCCCTTCTCCAAAACTATTAGCCGCTAGAAACATGTCCGAAAAGGCGCTGGGGCCTTGAAACTTGAAATGCTCGTCTAACTGACCGCTGTAGTCTCATTGCCGCGTTCTGTTAAATATTTGGCAGTCGCTCTTCGAAGTTTTGTTGTTGTTGTTAATTAAGTACGACGTGCCAGGTGACGACTTCAGCCGATGTTTATCTAATCTAGCTGATAATATTTGTCGATCCGAACCTAGGGTGTGGAGTAGCGCATCTCTTTATACGTATCCATTGAGAAGACTGAACTCACTGTACATAATAAATGTATCATCCCTAAATGTAAGTCTATTGTAGACTAAACTACTTTGTAGAGGCTGTAAAAAAGAAAAATACGAACTATACGGTGGCTTAATTGAAGAGAATCAAATAAACGTTTGAAAAAATACAATATAAAAATGCTGCAGTGTTTCATTTTAGCTTTTTCGCTGCCCCCCTGATCTGTTACACTGCACCAATCAGGTAAAACTTCGCGTTGGATGAACTATCGACTCGATAAAGACAGACAGAGAAACTTAGCCTGCTGGGAAACTGATGACCACTTTCCATCGGTGTTCATCTTGAAACTTCGTGCATTTCGATAGTTCATCCAACGCGAAATAACTACGCCCTGGCTGTCGCTATAAAATCATAAGACTCGACTCGATAAAGACTGGCGAACAAGGAAATCTGGAATGCAAGGAAACAAAGCACTTTTCCTCCGGGTCCGCCATCAAGACCGACCCGGGCTGGCTTGACTCGTTGTTTTTGGACGGGTTGGCCCGGCCTGCCGGAGTCGAGCCCCGTAAGAAGCAGCTTGCGGCGCATTATGTGACGTAGCAGTTTCGTCAACTCGACGGGACTGGCGCGCCATGGCGGGGCCGCGCGCGGGACGAGCCGAGCCAAGGCGGCAAGGGCTGCACACACAAAAGGCAGAGGGGGCGCAGAAACTGCTCACTGGAGGCGCTTTCAGAGCGACCTTCTCTCCTTAACTCCGTCATAAACATGCAAATACAGGCCGTAAGCACAGCTTGCTTCGCGCCCGCCCAGTCGAGCCCCAGAGGGCCGCGCTGTGTGTGTGTGAGTGTGTGTAACTGCGTCTCGCAGTGTCGAACGCAGGCCGCGCTGCTGTCTGGGGCAGCCTGCCTCGCGGACCAGGTGTCATCGGCATGCCTCCGCGCACACGTGTTTACCAACTTTCCGGCGCGCGCGTGCGTGCGTGCGCCACTTAATTTTGCATTTGTAGCCAAGGATACACGCGTTGTTGTTGTTCTGGACACACTTGACGTGCGAGTCTTTTGCTGGATGAAAAATTCATGCCACGCTGCCGCCCGCTGTGTCCTTTTTGTTTGGTCCCCTTTTTTTGCTGTCAGTTGCGGCGGGTTGCTTTCTGTGACCGTCGAGTCCTCTCTTTCTCTTTCTCTGTCTTTTTTCCGGTCGTGCGAATGGTGGGCCTGACACAACCTTCCTTCCAGTCAACTAAACCGCCCGCCACCCCGCCCCGCCCCGCCCCGCCCCGGCCGCATCCACTCGGGCGGCTGGAGTGCGCGGCGCGCGGCAGGACTCATTTCATTTGAGTACAGGTGAGGGAGGGCGCGTTAGATCGTTTCGATAGCCCGATAGCGTGTGGATGGCGTGGATGGCGCAAAGGAGTGGGAGGGGAGGGGAGGGAAAAGGGGGGGGGCACGACCCGCCCGCCGCCCTCCCCTCGTTCCCTTGTCATTCTGCGGGTTAAAAGCGTAAGGCCGTGTCTGATGGTCTTCTTTCCGCCGCAACAACGCGCCCTGCGCCCGACTGGCCCGACTGGTTGGCTCGCCCGACGACACAAGTGGCTTCATTAAGATGTCTGCGGACTATTAATCAAAGGACTCAGCTCTCCGCCCACTTCCCGCTCGCCGTGGTGCTGCCTCCCCCGTCGCCGTGGTCGTGGTGGCGTCTCTACCCTGATTCCGAGAGTCGTTTTCGTCGCCGTGTCTCTCTCGCCCCGTATGGGTACGAGAGAGACAGAGCGACGAAAACCACTACTGCTCGGCGTCCAGGCGGCCGGCTGAGATGGTCTCCGCTCGAGATTCGAACCCAGGACTCCTTCCCTCACGGCCAGGTTGGGCATCCTCGCGCCAGAATCTCGGCGCCCCCTCCCCTCCGCGCCGATGCCGTCCGATCAGATCTCCGCGGCGCGCTTGGCCTTTCCACCCCTCGGCAGGGCAAATATGGTGACGGCCCGGAAATATATGGCTCTTTTTGTGAGCAGTAGGCCTTCCCGCCCCGCCCCGACCCGCCCCGCTCGGCGCCTCCACGCCCCGCCACTTTCATGAGCCGCTTACACCGCCCGCCGCGAAATGAGCCGGGGACACTCCAAACATGGCAAAGAAGAAGAAGGACCCTCTGCGCACTCCGGCTGTGGTTCTCGACTAGCAGGTCCGTGGTCCCGTTTAAAAACGAAAACATCCAGAATCTGGCCGAAACCGTTCCGAATCGCTTCCGAACGCTCGGGGTTCATCCAGAATGCTTCCGAACTGAGGCATGCGGACGTCGGGGAACTCCCGAAATCACCCCTGTTTCGGGGGCTGTGTTGTCGGGGCAGTCCGACATCCTTCCGAATGTTCCCGGGCACCCCGAAGTTCTTCCGAGACCCCGAATCCCGTCAGTTCGGAAGGATTTCGGGCTACCCCGATGGTCCGTGCATAGTACTCTTCGGAAAATCCATTCTTTCAAATTAAGTAAATCGCAGTTTTAAATTTCATTTTTGGAATTTTGAGCTCAAATTTGGTATGGGGTATCAACGCCAAAATTAACAAATGCCATTTTTTTTATTTTCAAATTGGACACTTTTTTTCTGCTATCTTGAAAACTACAAGTGCTATCTAAAAATGGATTGCAGATTTGGATCGGACTCGATTTCGACACCCCGAAAGCACTTTTCGGAAGTCTCTTCTCTCCAATTAAACCAATATAATCTCAATCAAAGTTTGTACTGAGCATTGGTTAGCTGCCTCCTTAGCCCCCCCTCCTACAGTAGTCCTGGCTTCCACCCCACCACGAACCATTCTTTTCGGAACGATTCCAGTAGGGCCCCGACGCCGCCGGAACTCCGGCGGAATCCTTCCGAAACGAGACTGACGTCGGGGTACATCCAGAAACTTGCGGATCTTGGTCATTTTTGGGTAAAATTCGGAAGACCCCGTCGGAAGCGATTCGGGGTCGCCCGATCGGGGACACCCGAAGTCATTCCGACGTTCGGAACGATTTCGGGTGTTTTCATTTTTAAACGGGGTTCAACAGCACCACCCTCCCTCTGCATCCACATCGGGGGTGACAAACTGTAAAAATTGGAGAGATTGTGCAAGATTTCTGCTGTATTTGTGACACATTTTTCCTACTTACTAGCGTACTAGCATATTTTATAATCATAAAATGTAGAGGAAAAAACGGTAGTAAGTAGGAAAAATGTGTCACAAATACAGCAGAAATCTTGCACAATCTCTCAAATTTTTACAGTTTGTCACACACACACACACACCGATTTATACTCGAGTATAAACTAAATTTGGAGATAAGTCAGGTATTCCCTTCTTCTGCTTCGTGGATCATTTTGTGCAATTAATGTGGGAGATTGCCCCCCCCCCCCCCAAAAAAAAAAATGCACATGCTAGTTTGCAGTTTGCTTAGCCTTGCTCTGCCTTCCAAAAATCTTTCCGTATTTTTACGTTTTTACATGGAATCCCTAAACGGATCGGGTAAACGACAATGACCCGGAAGTCTTCCGACTCAACTCGATACTCGATTTGGCCTGCCGCCACTCGAACGCCGCTCGGCTGTGGGTCTGTGAGCCCATCGGGCCATCACAATCCAATTTGCATTTATCAGTGGGTGTAAGACGTCGCGAGGAACAGCATCGCCATTACGGCCTTGCCGCCTTGCCGGCGACGCCTGGCCCGGATGGCCGAATGTGCCAACATGGAAATAAACGACTCTTGGCCGCTTTTTGTTGGTGCCGAACGGATGTTCTGTTCAATCTCACGGCCACCGCCCCGCCCCGCCCGGAGTCGGGAGTCACGCGTCAGGCCTGGTGTAGGTGCAGCCCAGCCGTTGCAGCGATAAGTCACCACGCCTCGTCGCGGCCCGCACCTTCCCCCACCCCTCCCCTCACCCCTCTCAGGCCCCCGAGTTTCAAAAGAGGGAGCGAAATATTTCTCATGTCCATGATTCCGCACTTATCCCCACTGTCACGCACTCCGCGCCGTGCCGTGCCGTGCCGCGCCGTGCCGTGCCGCGCCGCGCCCTGCCGTGCCGAGCCGAACCGTGCCGTGGCCACGCGCGCCCCATAAGCACCATGTGTTTGGAATTGTCTCGCCGATCGCCAGATTTGTTTGGCAGCTCCTTTTTTTCCGGCCCTCGAGGGCGGGGCCTTCCGGGCCTCCCGGGGCCTTATTGGCACGAATGCACAGCGGCGACGGCGTCTGCCTCATTCATGGCAGAGAAATGGACAGCCGCCCGACTCGAGGCGAAATGCCGGGAGCGGCGTCCAAAGAACACCGTATTTGCTTTTTGTTTGTTAATATTTTAAAAAATAGGACCGAAACTTACCCTCCGAATCGTTCGGACTTGGCATTAGTGTCGAGTTTAGCTGCTCTCTGTGCCCGTGTTATAGATCGGGGGCTGGAACTTCTTTCTCATTTAAAATGGGGTTTTTGACTTAAGAGAGTGCCATACTTAAAGGCCCAGACGTTACTTGTCCAGTTCAAGACGTTG